AAAGAGTCAAAACTGCAGGTTACCCAAGGTCAATGGAAAGATGCATGGTGAGTATAAGCTGAGAGAGTATTACAGAAGATGAAGTGTTCATCTGTATTATCTTCGTGTCAGAACACATCTGGTGTACTGCATTATTTTAAAAGTGAAGTTGCATAAAAGATGTCACTGTAGATTTGTATGGTTAGAAAAGAAGAATAAAAGTGGGGAACAGTAGATGTACAGTTGGAGTGCTGATAATGCTAAAAGAACGAAAAACCTCTAGCACATTGGAAAGATCTGTGAAAAGTCATGGAGAAAAGTCACCCAGAATGACAAAATACAGATGAGTCAAAATCTGCTCCAATGGAGAAGGTACCCACACTGATAAGATCACAAAGTCAATCTCTGCAACTTCTACCCATTCACTGCTCCTAGCTGTACCCTCCAAGGTCACCTCCACCTCTAGATGTATGATTTTTAATCCTGGGGTAAAGCACAAGTCTCCTCTCTTTTCCATGACAGCCCTTCAAGACAGCCATTGTGTATTCCACAAGTCTTCTGTTCTCCAGGTAAACAGCCCCAGTTCCTTCAACTGATTCTCATGTGGGCCCTTCACTATCTAGAAGAGGAGTCAGCAAACTATGTGGCCTGTTGCCTGCTTCTGTATGGTTCTTGAACTAAGAAAGGCTTTGACATTCTTAGTGAATCATACAAAAACAGGCAACAGGCCAGATTTGGCCCACAGGCCATAGTTTGCTGACACTCAGAATATTCTCCTCTGGAATTTTTTCCCAGCTTGTCAATATCCTTCCTAAACTGTGGTGCCCATAACTGAATAGAATACTAGACATATGGTCTGACCAGATCAGAATATTGGATTATCACTTTTCATATTACAGACATGATTTCTTAATAGCACCTAATATTATATTGATTTTTTTTTATTACTGCATTGCATTCTTGATACTTATTGAGAGTTTAGTCTACTAAAACTTCAGGGTTTTTGTAGACAAACTTCTATCTTGCATTGTTTTCTCCATAGAAAATATTCAAATTGACTTTCTGAATCCAAATTTAAGATTTAACATTTATTTCTATCTTCACCTAATTAGATTCAGCCTATCATTCTGAGAGGCAGTGTGGAATAGTGGATGGAGAGTCAGCTTAAAAAGCCAGGAATACCTCACCTGGGTTTGTCCTGCTTCTGCCACATTCTGGTTGTATGATTCTGGGTAAGTATCTTAATGCCTCAGTGTTCTAGATCAAAGGTGTCAACCAAACTGCCAAGTCCGTAACACTCGGAGTGCTGTTAACCAGATTAAAATTTAAATGGGAAATATTTAACAAAATTTAAAAATTTAATTTTTTAATTTTAAAAATTGTTTCAAAATGACAAAACACAGGTAATATTACATTTTAAAACTGAGTCAATATGCAGAAGCATAGAAAATAACACATTAACATTATATAGGTTTTCTCATATTATTACTTATTTTGTTAACTATTTCCCAATTATATTTTAATCTGGTTGAGCTGCACTTGGGCGTGCTCTGGGCCATATGTAGCCTGAGGGCTACATGTTTAATACCTCTTTTCCAAACAGTTCTTTTAAGACTCAATGTTTCTGGTCTGTTGTGGTAGGAGTCTCCTTACTAGGGAATTCCTTAAACCAAAGAAATCAGAAGTCCAGTTCCTATCTCTATAACTATCCTTAACTCTACCTTACCACCATCATTTTGGATCCTGTTTCAATCATCTTTACTCCGGAAGAATTCATGGGCAAATTTGATAAATATGCTATCAATAGCAAATTTGATAAATATGCTATCAATAACTACCTAAGTCATTGATTAAAATATTAAAGAACATGGGGCCAAAGGAAAATCCCTATGGAAATTCTATCAGAGAGCTTCTTATACGTAGGTGATCTTATTTGGCACTACCTCCTTCAATTCAAGGATGGTGACTATCCCATTGCACTCTGTCCTGGTCAGAAAACATCTGGAGTACAGCATTCAATTTTATATACAGCTCTATAAATTCATGGTTTCCCTTTCCTATAAGTATTTTTGAGCCTTAGGAATGTTCACCTACCTGTAATAGAAAAATAATAACATGAATTATTTCAGCTGTAGGTCTCCACAACACTATTCTTTCAGCTAAAGTCTTACTCCTATCACAAAATCTTGATTTTTATCAAGGTGCTTTACAGATAGTTATTTTCTCTAAATTGCTTTTGAGACATTAATTATTATGATAAAAAAATCTAGATAAATCTGTAGTTTTCTTTCTTTTCCCACGGGTTTAAGTATTAGCTTAAGCATATGTCTCAGAAAACTCTTTCTCCTACTAAATTTCAGTCCCATATCACCAACTGCCTATTGGACGGATATTTCAAACTGAAAGTCCTAGAGAAATATCAAGTTCAATATGTCCAAAACTGAACTTATTATCTTTCCCCCCAAAAAAACTACCCATTTTCTAAAATGTTCTATTTCTTTCAAAGGTACCACCTTTCTTCCAGACACCCAGTTCATAATCTTGGTATTATCCTCTACTCCTCACTCTCCTTGACAACATCTAATCAGTTGCCAAGTCTTGCCATTTCTACTTTCACAGGATCTCTCACGTCAAACTCCTTTCTTCTCACACTGACACCATCTGAGCGCAGGTGCTCAATACCTCTCACCTAGATTATTGCAATAGCTTTCTAATTTGTTTCCCTACTCAAGTCTCTCCCCATTCCATCCATTCTCAACTCAGCTGCCAAAGTGATTATTCTAAAGTGAAAATTGGACCATGTCAATTCCCTACTCAATAAATTCCAGTGGCTTCTTATTGCCTCTAGAATAAATTATTATCAGTGTGTGAATTCCCATACAACCAAGTCCCAACCTATCTTTCTAGCCTGACTGGACATTACATAACCCTCCCACATTCTGTGAACCAGTCAAATTGGCCTCTCTATTCCTCATAAAAGACATTCCATCTCTCACTTCATTGATTACACATGGTTCTCTATCTCCCCATCTACATACCTTTGCACTGGCCATACCACATGTCTGGAATATTCTCCCTCCTTTTCCATACCTCATAGAATCTCTTCCTTTAAGACAGGTCTTCATAACATACGGCCCATGGGCCACTTGCAGCCCACCAAACAATTTCCGGCAGCCCGCAAAAAATGTAAGGTTGCCAATGCGCACTCTCCTGTTTGTCACATGAATCGTGGCAACTAACCATTGTCAGTCTGTTACTAGTCTAACCTATCTGCAGCCTAAAGAAGTCTAGACTATTTTAATTTTGGCCCCTACCTAAAGCCAAGTTGTGCAGGACTGCTTTAAGATGAAGTTCAAGAGCCATTTTCTACATAAAGCCTTTCCCGATTCCCCAACTGCTAGTCTCTCCTTCTCAAATTACCTTGTATTTTAGCTATTTTGTATATATGTGCATTTATTTCCCTCATATTTATGCCATATAGATTGATAGATACACACTTATTCATACTTGTCTTTCTCATTAGAATGTAAATTCCTTAGAAATAGGATTATTTCATTCTCTGTATTTGAATGCCCAGCATGCAGCACAGTGCCTGGCACAAGGTAGGCATTTAATAAATATAAATACTTCTTGATTTCTTTTCAAGCAGATCATTTCAATTATACCCTTATTCTTTAATCATTATAATTCAGAATTAATTCATCAATCAATAAACATTTATCAAGGCCTACTACATACAGGTGCTATGCTAGGCACTGGGGATACAAATATAGAAATGAAAGTCTCTGCCTTCAAAGAATTATACTCTATTGAGAGAAAAACATATATGTAAGTATATACAAAATAAATATAAGATAATTGGGGAGGGAGGACAACAGAAGCACTAGCAGCCAGGGGGAGAAGAATCAAAAAAGGTTTCAAGTAGATTGTCAGAGGTTAAAAGGGGAGAATAAATTCCAGGTATGATGACAATCCATACAAAGAGACAGAGATGGGAGAGGGAAGGTTGTATGTAAGGAAGAGTAAACAGGTCAATTTGGCTAGACTGTAGAACGCATGAAGGGGAAGTAACATATTATAAAGCTGGAAAGGTAAGTCTGTAGACAAGCTGTGATAGGCTTTAAAATGTCAAAGGGAAGAGTTTGGATTTGATCCTATTGGTAATAAGGAGCTAGTAGAATTTATTGAGTAGGAAAGTGATAAAGAGTTTGCTTTAGCAAAATCACTTTTACAGTTATGTGGAGGATTCAGTGCATGTTCTTTCTATTTTGCTTTTCTTCTTACTTACTTTATAAAGTTGTTACTTAAAGATTTTAAGTCTGAGACTAATAGACATGGTAGAGTAGAAGCAACACTAGATTTGGAACTAGAGGACCTAAATTCAAATCTTAGCTATTACTGTGTCCCCTTGGCAAGTTATTTGCTTTCTCTGGGCTTAATTTTCCTTACATGTAAAGTATATGGGTTGGACAAGTCAAAATAATCTCAGATACATACAGGTTATCCATATTATAATTAAGAACAATAAAATCATATCAAAACTTTAGAAAATGTTTCTATTTTGTTTCAGAAGGATTTTTTCTGAGTATATATACATATGTATATAAATATGCTGAAAGTAAAAAATAATACTAAACTTAGAAACATAGTAAGGAATAGGTCCTGAATACTCAAATGTATTAAAATCCACACAAAACAAATTCAACCAGCATAATTTAGGTTGACATTTCATGAAAGGATATCATCAAAATCCCTAGCATTAAATAATTTACTTTAGACATTTTCCAAAAGTCAGAAAGTCAAATTCACGTGTATCTATCAGGAATTGAAATAAAGTGCTTCTTATTCATAGATAGTCTTTTTAAACATTAGTTATTATTTTCATTATTACTAAAAGCAATATTTACATTCCTTTATCTTATTTTATTTTTTACTGTTTACTATTCCTTATATACAACGTTCCCTCTCCCATCTCTATCTCTTTGTATGGACTGTTATCATACCTGGAATTTATTCTCTCCTTTTAATCTCTGACCATCTACTTGAAGTCTTTTTCAATTCTTCTTTTCCCCTGGTTGCTATATAAATATATTTATATTTACTGTGCTGATTTTCATGATGTTTTTTAAAAGTCAAATTTATTTCTACAGCTAGGTTGTACCTTAGTAGCATCTCTGTCCCCTTACCAGTTCTACTTTCTGAAATCCCTAAAAACTCCAGTTATGCGTGGCTGCCAGCCCAGGTTAATAATAGCAATGAACCATATTCATCCAAACCACAAGACTGTCAGGTGACATACTGAGAAGTCTGAATTTAACTCAAACAAAAGACTCTCCACACTGCAATGTAAAATGCTTAATCCTAGCAACACAATGAGGCTAGGGGATGGGGAAACCTTTAAAAAAAAAAACAGTCGTCTAAGGTAAAATTTGTGTTTTTATACAAATTTCATTTACTGTCCCTCATAATGTTATAACCGATATTTGGTCCTTTTGTTTCATTGTAGAGTTCAAGATTTTTAAGGTAAGTTATCAATGTCTACTTTTCAATTCTTTTGTCTCCTCAAATGTATTGTTATTGAAAGGATCGATTTAATTCATGTGAAAATGCTACTTTGGAGTCATTAAAGACTACACAGATCAGTTTCATTTACCATCTTTTTCAAGTGAATCTGACATAGGTTGTCACTGTACCTTCTGAAAATGCCCTGGCAACTGTGTATGCAATTCCTTTAAAACCCAAATCTGTACAGAATTCAAACTAATCCAGGAAGAAAGGGGGATAAAAATTATATTCCTCTTTGATTCTCTCACATTCTTGTAATTGCAGGATACTGGCATTCAACACTGCTGACAAGTACAGCCTTCAGAGAAGCAGAAAAGCAAACTACAGGTGACACTACACGCCACCTGAATTGGTGAAGAGATGAACAACTAATGGCAGTTCTATATTGCATTCATGTACACAAATTTCACTACTAAATAAAGCCTACAAGTTTGAAAAGTGCAGTAAAAGCTATTATTATATTGCTTGTTTGATTCAATAACAAAATCTTAGAAAGTTTTCAGAACACGTTTAGATGAAAATCTTGCTCAGTTTCAGCAAGGATGTCATGTTTTACTTGAACAAATCAATTCAGAGCCTGATCCACAAGGGTGGAGTGAAAAGATAGAAATGAGCCACAAGAGACATAAACACACTCTCTCTCTCTCTCTCTCTCTCTCTCTCTCTCTCTCTCTCTCTCTCTCTCTCTCTCTCTCTCTCTCTCTCTCTCCCTCTCTCTCTCTCTCTCTCTCTCTTCCTCTTCCTCCCTCCCTCCCTCTCTCTCTCTCCCTCCCTCCCTCCCTCCCTCCCTCTCTCTCTCTCTCTCTCTCTCTCTCTCTCTCTTTCTCTCTCTCTCCAACAAAAACAAACACCAAAGGGAAGACCAATGTTTTAAAACCCATGATAAAATAAAATCAACTGAAATTTTAAAATGAGCAAGATTTTTGTTACAATAAAAATATAATTAATAATACTGTAGAGCAACTGAAACAACAAAACAATCAGAAGCAAAGGAAAAGGTAAAAAGAAACTATTCAAAATATCTGGAAAAAATGTCCTCAAATGAGTAAATAATATGTCCATAGAAATCAATTAATCCAACCACAAGTATTTATTAATAATTTACTAAACGCCAAGCACTATGCTAGGCACTGTGGATAAAAAGACAAAACTAAACAGTCCCTGCCCACAGGAGCTTACGGTTTTGTGTTTTGTTTTTTTTTCTTGGTGGGGTGGGAGGGCAGGGAAGAGACAGAGGAAAATTAAACACAAAAAACAAACAGTAAATACAAGGTAATTTTGGGGTTTGGAAAGGCACTAGCTTCTGGGGTACTGTATTAGTAGATGCCAACTGAACTGAGCTTTGAAGGAAACTAGGGATTCTAAAAAGTAGAGGTGTAGAGGGAATATGAGGGCATAGAAGCATAGGGAACTGACTGTACAAAAGAATGAAAATGGGAGGTTGGATTGCATGTGAGAGACAGCAAGAAGGTCAATTTGGCTGTTCTGTAGAGTACATGAAGGTGAGTAATTTGTAGTGTTTGAAAAGGTAAGCTGGAACAAGACTGTGAAGGGATTTAAATGTGAAATAAAATAGTCTGTATTTAATCCTAGAGATAATAGGTTGTCACTGGAACTTACTGAGCAAGACAGTGATGATGTCAAACCTGTTTTTAGAGATAATGATTTGGCAGCTATATAGAGTGTGAAATGAAGAGAGGAGAGATTTGAGGAAAGGAAACCAATTAGGAGGCTTCTTCAATAATCTAGGGGAGAGGTGATAAGGACTTCACTAGTTTAAATAGAGAGAAGGGGACAGATGAGAGAGAAGACATGATGGTAGAAGACTTAGAAATTGACTGGCCATGGGGAAGTAAAGCGGAGTGAAGGATGACTCCAAGGTTTCTGCAGTACAGCCTATTCGGGCCATACTACAAAGTTGAGTGAATCTACTGAAAAACAACAACAACGACAAAAACACAGAATGAGACAACAAGAAATCTAAGATATCCGAAACGAAAACCAATTGGCATGTTTAAGACTCATAACCAAACAAAAAACCTAGACACCATATTTAAATAAGTCACAAAAGAAAATTACGTAAATCTATCAGACTTATGGAAAAGGGCAAAATAAAAACAGAAAGAATTCACCAATAGGGCAACTAGGTGGCACAGTAGATAGAGCACCGGCCCTGGATTCAGGAGAAGCTGAGTTCAAATCTGGCCTCAGACATATAACACTAACTAGCTGTGTGACCCTGGGCAAGTCAATTAACCCCACTGCCTAACCAAAAAAAAAAAAAAAAAAGAATCCACCGGTAACATCCTGAAAGCCCAAAAATGAAAATACATTGTAATGTCATGACCAAAATCTACAGGTTTTGAGAAATGAATACTTCAAGTAGTCAGAAAGAGTTTAAGTATCAAGGAACCACAGTGCAAACCACTTTTACAAAAATCAACAATGTTTGATAGCATAAAAACTTTATAAACAAGTATAGAGAAAAGGAGAATATTAAACTATCATTTACTAATTACAACACAACAAAAATTATAATCAATAAAGGGCATTTGAAGAAAGAATTCATATATAAATTAAAACTAAATAATTTAACCCTAAAGAACCAGTAGGCCAAAAAACAAATTAGTAACATTATGTAATTTCAAAGAAAATGAGATGATATACCAAACCTTTAGGGGTACAACCAAAGCAATTCCTAATCTTTTAAAATTAAAACACTGACCAACAAACAGATTGAAGAATGAATCCACTGTGCAACTAAGAACAAAAGGCAACAAACCAAAAAGTCACGACTCAACCCTGAAAAATCTAAAAATTAAAGGAAAAAAACCCTGAAAAATGACTGAATGGATAAGCAAAAAATAACACCTTAAAAATAAACTGCTAGCCAATCTGATTTTAAAAAAGGAAGTTGTCCGCATTTTTAAAAATGAGAAAGAATCCAAATGAAGGGAAAACAAAGAAGATTATTAGAAATCACTGTGTCACTAAAAATGATTATCTAAATAAGATGTATGAATATTTATAAATATAAAATGCCAGATCATCAGAATAAGAAATAGATTATTTAAATAATTTATTCTTATAAAAAGAAAATGAGCAAATCATAAAAAAACTCCCAAAGGAAAAAAAAACACCTAGGACCAAATGGATTTACAAGTGAATTCTATCAAAGACTGAAAGACTTATTTAACAAAAAAAGAAGGAAAGATGGCATCCTACCAAAATCCTTCTATCAATCAAATTTGGTACTGATACCTAAACTCAGGAGAGAGAAGTCAGAGAAAGAATGTCGCTAATGAATCTAAGTGCAAAAATGCTAAATAAAATCCTAACAAAGAAGCTAAAAGAGCACATTTAAAGACTATGGATAGGTTCATATAAGAAATCAAGAGTTGGTTAACCATTAGGAAAACTATAAACATAATGAAAAATATTAATAACAGTCACAATCACAATACATCAATGGATAAAGAAAAAGTTTTTGACAAAATACATCCTTTTATATTGAAAACACTATAAAGCAAAGGAAGAGATGGACCTTTTCCCTTAATATGGTAAACAGTATCTAAAAAACCAAGAGTTCTAACATCATTTGTAATGGAGAAACACTGGATTGCCTTTCTAACAAGCTGAGACAAAGTTAAAGCCTAATGGGCAAATCTAGCCGGATGGTTTTTTTGTTTGTTTGTTTTGGCTACAAACTAAGGATTGTTTTTATGCTTTAAAATAGACTGTTTTTTGTATGCCCCATGAGCTAAGAATAGTTCATACATATTAAAATAAAGTTAGGTATTTTAAAATGTAAAAACCATTCTTGGCTGGCGGGATGTACAAAAACAGGTGTTAGGCCAGATTTGGCCTGCAAGCTATAGTTTATCAATCCCTGAACTAAGGGATAAAGCAAGGATGACCAGTATTATCACTGTTATTTGAATAATTCTGGAAATGTTAGCTATAGCAATAAGGAAAAAAAAAGTGAAGGAATAAGTATAGGCCAAAAAGAGAACTAAACTATTGCCTTTGGCAGGTATGATGTTTCACTTAGATATCTATAAAGTCAACTAAGTATTAAGAGAAAAACAACTTCAGTAAAGCAACAGGATATAATAAACCCAAAAAACTAGTCTTTCTGTATGTTACAACAAAATTCAGCAGACATAGAAAAATAAATTCCATTCAAATTAATTTGCAGTACCATACCAAATAACCAAAGGATCACTTGTAAAACTAGAGAAAATTATTATAAAATTTATCTGGAGGTACAAAAGGTGAAGAATCTAAAAGGAAATAATGAAAAAAAGTGGAAATGAAAGATCTGTACAAACACTGGGTCTCTTAAACTACAGTAGACTAATCAAAACTATTTAGTACTCATTAAAAATTTTTTAAAATTAATCAGTGCAATAAATTAGGTACACATAATCCAGAAACAATCATATATAATGGCACAGTTTTCAATAAACCCAAGAATATATACTACTGAGTAGGGATTAATTTTTTCACAAAAAGTACTGGGGAAACTAGGAAAAATTCTCACATCCTACGGTATAATAAGCTCCAAATTTGACTCATGGCCTAGACATCAAAGTTTATATCTTTAAAAAACTACAGAAGAATAAAAGGTGATGTAAGCAAGGCTTAGGGAGAGTTCTTAACCAAACAAGGGACAGTAAGGGCAATAGGAGATAAAACAGAAAATTCTGATTACAGAAAATAGACAAGGATTTGAACAAAAAAAAAGCCAATACTTTTAAAATTAGGAGGGAAACAAATGAAAAAAGAAATCTTTGTGAAAGATTCTCTGATAAAGGTCTTATATCCAAGATATATGTGTATAAACATATATATCTGAAATTTATGTGAATATACAACAAGACCCATTCTCTAACAGATAAATGGTCTAAGACTGGAATAGGCAATTCTCAAGGAAAAGAATCCAACTTACCCACAACAATGTGAAAAGAATACTCAAAATTGCTATTTAGAAATGCAAATTAAAACAATTCTGAGATTCTACCTTATCCCTATTAGACTGGCAAAGACAACAAAAAGAAAAAATATAATTGTTAGAAGGACTGTGGGAGAAAAGTCATAGTAATGTACTATTGGAGTTGTGTGAACTGGCCTAACCATTCTGGTAAGCATTTGAAACTATGCCCAAAAAGGCACTAAACTGCCTATCTTTTGATCTTTTGATACTGCTAGTAGGCTTATACACCAAAGAGATCAAAGGCAAATGGAAAAGACCCATATATAAAAAAATATTCATTGCAGCAATTTTTGTTGTAGCAAAGAACAGGAAAAAATGTGTGTCCATCAACTGGGGAATGCCTGAACAAATCTGATATATGAACACAATGGAATATAATTGTCATAAGAGATGACAAAATGCTGATTCAGAGAAACCTGGAATAATCTGCATAAGCTGATGAAGAGTGAAATTAGAGGAG